TTCAACTGTTCTACATACTGTCTTTGTCCTATTCGCATCGCAACTCACGGCAGCACTTCCCTTCTCAATGAGAACTTTTAGTTTACTATCTAGGCTAGTTAATTGTTCCTTTAAGTTAGTAAAATCACTAGTGAGCATTGAGTCCCTCAGTAATTTTCTTTGTTTAGCGGCATGATACGAAAAAGAATGGAGGCCAGAAGCAGTAGTTCTAGATGCAGGGAGGGTCAGAATTTAATTGCCACGTAAATTATAAGAAGAAATGCGGAGATTGAGCATGTTCTCCAATCATGTAGATAGGGTATTTTATAGTAAGAAACAAAATCTTCTAGAGTAAAATTAACATGTTATGAGGGGTCAGCGAGGACCAGCGAAACCGTAATGTCGGTAAAGATCAGGTGAATATTTGTTTGGCTTCCAATTTTCGTCATAGGGGAATGAGATTTTATGTAAATTGAAATTCTCTATATTCCTCTTTACGATTTCGAAGTCTTTGCACATTATCAAGGAGTACGCGCGTTGTCCCAAAAAACAATTTGGAAAGTGTTATCGTCAATCCGATACCAATGCTTCGAGCTCTCCGTCACTGCTTCATATCAAGACTCAGCCTCTACAATGTTATTCCGCCGATTGGAGCACCGATCCAGAATTTTCAAAATCACGATCTTAACGTTTGGAAGACTTTGCAAAATATAAAAGAAAGTGAAAGAGGTGTTTTGCATATAACGGCGTACGTTTCACGAACGGAATTGGAGTCTTGTTCTTTCCTGGGCAAACAGGCGTCTACCTCACAGCAGACGAAGTCGAGAAATATTGGAAAAGTGAAGAAGAACAGTGAAGAAAAAATGAAACAAGAGAAAGGCGCAGAAGATATGTCTTGGCTGGCGCAATCGAGCTTGAGCGATTCTGAAGTGGAATTCAGCATTGATATTGGATCCCAGGTCATTTGCTGTTATTCTCCTTCAGATCCAGAATTGTCTTCTGATAACGAAAGTTTGAGGGAATAACAGGAATTGGCGTTTGTTTGGAATAGAAAGGCTTTCAGGACGGGTTAAAGAGCGAAGAAATTAAAGGCAAGCTGGTTATCACAGGGAAGTGGAAGCTCTCTTAACGGACACTCTCGTATGGAAGAGGAAAGCTCTACCAACGGTGCCCGGTTTCAACTCCCATGCAAAGTCTGTATTTTTACATTCCCGTAAGCGGCGGAGGACACTTTCAGGGTTTACGAGTTAGATGTGAGCTTTGCTTTTGCGCTCTCGTTATACACACGAATGAAATCTCATTTGCCTCTGTATCTTGAATTTTTTCCATATCTCTGTTTGTCACAATGAATTTATATCATTTTCAGAGTTTGTTTGTTTGTTTGACTATTTGTTTTTTCACATACAATTCTGGCTACACTTCAAAACACCCCATGAATTTTATGCTTGTGCCTGGATTACATCACAAAGTCGTCAAACAACAGTATAGCCAAACACAAGAGCCATAATAGTCCTATTATGGCTCTTGCCAAACACTAACAAACAGGTCTTTGGCATGCCCAGTATTTATGTGTAGCTATTTATAGGTAAGCTCCCGTAAGCGGCCATCTAACTCCTACATCCCTAGTGGTCGCTATTTCACGAATCATTCCCATAAAATGTTAAAAGTGGTTACCACCGGTCAAATGGTGGGCCGAACTGTCAGTGATTACATAGTATATAATTATTTGACAGGATTGGCCAGCTAGACCGGTCAATTCGTAAATGAAGGATAATCTTTTATGCTACTTTGCCTCGAAAACCTGATAAGGCGTTGTACAGTATAAGACCTTGTAAGGAACTGTCATTGCATTTCATATTTTATTGTGAAACTCAGGCGACTGTAACTACGAAGCAAGAATTAACTGATAAATAGTACCTTACAACAAGATTCTATTGGCAAATTTGTGCTGCAATAGTCTAAAATGCCGGCGATAACTAACGTCCAATCATAGGCTGGTTTCGATGGTATATAGTGAATTTGCCTTTGACTGCAGTAAAAAGGTTTTAAATGTAACAGAAACGAATTTTGATATTTGTCCTATAGGAACTCGAGAGAGTTGAGCCTTTCAAGTTATTAGCCCATGAGTCAAATTTCTCAAGGCTGAATCCGTGAAACGGGACAAATCCCCTGTCTCGATCCCAGACATTCATTTTTGCATTGCCAATTTATCGCTGAACATTGGTAAATTAAGGGATTTGCGCAAAAGATATTTCCCAAATATACCTCAGCTAAAGAATTATGCTTGTGTCTATAAAAGAAACAAGAAGACGCCTAAGGGCGTTTACGCGGGATTTGTCAGAGTAAGTAAGAATTATGTTGAATGGCATTGGAAAGTTGAGCAGTGTATCAACAACGAATGTTTGCAGGAGAGACAGAGATGTACTGTTAAATACACCGGAATGGTTCCTTTGCTCCTCAAAACAAAACTTACATCAATATTACCACCATATATGTTAAGAGTATGGGTAGTTCACTAACA